GACCAGAACAGAGGCACAGAGGAACCATAGGTGGTACTGTGGGAAATCAGAAAAGCATGCTTCAGTAACCATTAGAACCATAGACTGTATGTAAAAGATGAGCGTAGCTTTCAGGTCACAAAACTGAAGCCACAGCAGAAATACTTTCAACCTTCCATCTTTCTAATGAACAGCAGGGGGCAGCATCTGTAGTTTGAAAAGGTCTGGTTACATAAAGGTCTATAGGAAAATTATGAATTTACCTTGTGACCTCAGTAAACACTTTCCTAAAGAGTTTATGGCCTCAGGCACCAGTTTTACTTAACACAACATAAAGGTGATTTTGTAGATTCTGGTTAATATTACAGCCAGAAAGGATGACTGCACGGGGTGTGTTTTATTGGCTAAAGACTCCCAGCTTCTCCTTCAGACACACCTCCGATCTTTACAAGTTCATGTTAGAATCAGCAAATACATTATTTACAGTATATCAGCTGCTTGTTATCTGATGTCTCCATGAAGATCACTGGAATGCGGAGGTGTTTCCAGTATTTTTTATTCAATGAGAGGACCCAAAAACAACAACAAGAAGAAATCAATATTTAATCCGATGAAAATACAGATGCAGGAAATAGTCACAAATTTCAGGATCTACTGAGGCAAGTATTACCACTCTTGTAAATCCTATATGAGTAGAATACAAAAATCTAAATCACTGTATCATATGTGAGATATTACTGGATTATAATCTTTGCATAATACTCATACTCATAATACTTACATTCTATTAGGTAACTTCATCTATAGTATTACAGCCTAACATGTTAGTAGAGTTTTATTTCGTTAAGTAATAAAAGTAATAATGTGATAAAAGCTCTAAAATGAATGGTCTGAAATACAAAAATCTGTGTTTTTATTTAAGCTGTAGTTCAGAAGAGGAAAGTACCCGTAAATAGTAATACTGGAAGTATAATTACATCAAAATCTTTTCTTAATGTGGACAACGTGATTCAAATTTATTTCATTATCTGCTTGGTTGTTTTAAAAAAAAATTAGTTTTCAGTTAAGGTATAAAGTGATAAAGCTGTTGTACTCTTTAACATAATAAATACAAAGCTCATACCAGTTTGCGTCATGCTGTTTGTGTTTATTTTCCTCCTGAACACAGTTAAACACACATATGAGGACTTTATTGACATAAAGTAATGAACTGATTCATCTTCACTGATAGGAAAGCAGCGACAGGCTGAATATGAGTATTTTGTGGTTACAGGTTCTTAAAAAAATACTTCTAAACCGATAGAAAATGAGATTAATTTATTTTCTATTACTCGTGGTTAATTTTTGATCAAAAGCGATGGGATGAGAAGCAGCAGATGCGCTCCCTCCTGTCTCAGCAGCCCTCTGTCTCCGTGAATGATGCGGGGATGGTGCAGAGTTTGATTCCTCTCTTGGCATTCACCGCGTGCCTTAATTGTATGGCTAATAAATCAAGGTCCGCCGTGAACACGAGGAGCGGCAACCCTGTGTCCCTTATCGAGGAAAGTTGGAGCTTCTGACCGTCACAGACAGAAAAAACACACAAATAACTCGACAGGCCTGAGCGCCATCACTCTGCATCGCCGTTTACATGTTGAAAATATGACCTGAATTTCACACCAACCATCAACATAAATTAAAACACATCACACAACGCGCGCCTTCGTCTTCTTTCCCTTCTGCGCGACCGTGAATTATCAGTCCATCGTCTCCGGCGCGTCTTCATTCCGTGACACAGCACCTGTCCTGTTTTATTCTCAGTGATGGATGTGTGGAGGTGAAGCAGGCCAGACAATGCCGTCCACAGTCCGAGGCGGGCGGGCAGGCCCACTGGTGATGCTCAGCCAGGCTTTGAGTCAGAGGAAATAAAAACCTGCGTCAGCCCTCCGGATTCCGAGGTTTAAGTATCTGACAGATATTTTCGGTTTTCTGGATATTTCACATTTCTCTACAGCAAAAACCGCCCCCGTCCTGATTTGCGTGCGTCTTTCATATCCCGGTGTTCACAGCTGAAGCAGTAACGTCATGACGTGGATCCGCTATGAGACGCAAAGTGTTTGACCCCATTAAAGCGTCTACGGAGCGTGTTAATAAAATATATGGACCCGATGTCGAGCGGTACTGCAATGTTTTCATTTCTGTGGGCAGGAAAAGATCCGCATGCGCTGACCAGGGTGCTGAAAGCGGACCCGCTGGGAGTCAGTTAACCGCACAGGAGCCTCTATACAGCTTCATCCCCTAAATATATTCAATCTAATAGTTTATAAAGTTGTATTTTCTTCGCCGTAACCGCATTAAAATCACAGAAGAAGCTGCTCCTTGAGGACAACCATTCACACATCCTATAGACAAATGCAACTTTCCTAATTATGCAAATAATGGAAAATATCACGACTGTCATAAATAACGAAAATGCATAAATTACAAAAATGAAAACATAAAATATGCCGTTTCGCAGCATTTGTGCAACACATGAGGAACAACGGATATCAGTGACTCAACAATGTGCATTTTTAAAGGTCTGGTTCCCTTTCAGGATACAGACCGACAGATAGAACTGTCCATCATATCCATGAAACCTGAAATGGAAGAGAAAAGAAAAAGCGCTACAATGGTCCAGTTCTGATGAAGCTGAAATATATAAACTCACCGCAGAGGGCGCCTGAACACGCCGGGGTGAGATCCACTCACAGATACGTCACTAAACAAGAAACAGAATAATGTGCAGCTCATTCATCAGCAACAAGAATTATTGATATTCATATTTGCGTCACCAACAAAGAAATATGATGGCTACTGTTAAAGGGAACTGTTATGCTTTTGCCTTGTTTTTTCTTCTTCTTTATTGACATACAGTACTTAAATTTATTAGATCACCACCCAGTGTAAGGTTTATGCCACAGCTGCCTTAAATTAACAGTATTGGTAATTAACAAAATCATTTTTATATTTTTGCAATGGTCGGTACAAAAACAACAGTTATATGATATTATATTGTTATATTTATTGTGGTTATCCGTGGATTTTCAGATTTACAGTGCTGATTTATAGCTGAAAATGATAAAGTGCATCGTTGTTATGATCAAGATGCCAAATTACAGTTATTTACTTGCATTCATGAACAATTAAAAATAACTTTAGTTCTTGAATGTTATGCTTTATTAATTCCTGACCTCCAGAAGTCCAGAGTGCCCGCTCAAATTTAAGTATAAAAGGTAAATTTACTTTGCTATTGAATGTTAAGGTAACTTTCTGAACCAAAAACATTCTGTTTCAGACAGGTTTTGTTCTACTGGCTCTCTATGATGTCACAGAGAGCAATTATCTCAGACACAAGATGTGAGAACATGTTCCACACACTTGCTGTTTTGAACTCATGTTTGTGTGGGACAGCCAATCAGAAGACTGATTAAAGCGGGAGGACCAATACAACTGCTGCCTTAATGTGTTGTGGCCCTTACGATATTTGAGAGAGGCACCATCAATCAGAGGACGCCCTATGAGCACTTGGGAACAGTGAGAAGGAAAGACTCCTTTTAAACAGGAAGAATAAAATAAAAAGACATGTATGCTCCTTTACTTATTAAATTTATATTTTTATTTATGAAACAAAAAAATATATATATATTTTTTCTTCAAGATAGAAGTGGACTTTTGTAGTGCACTTTTCCCAATTTAAGCCTCACACATTAAAAAAATATTTTTTCTGTTACTTTTTTTACAAGATTAAAAGTTCATATCTCATATACAAGCCTATTCTTTCAAAAAATTACTGCAACATTTTTACAAACCAAATGACATATTATTAAAATCAGCTGAATACACATTCCTAATATTGTAAACCAATGGTGAAAGTAAAAAGCCACTATTATGTTTTAAATAAAACCAAATTTTAAATAGAAACTAAAGGAAAAACACCCACAAAACAAAACACCTTTTTGTAGATGTCACGGTCTTGCACAGATCAAGTATAAACATTTAAAACACTTTTATGACCCAAACTTTACAGCACCATTGAAAACACCTGAATAAAGATGTTTATAATGTTGTTATGCATACATATAAAAGAGTTGTTTTATTAATCCTGCTAAAGTTTAAGTTTTTCAGTGCTGGTTAAAACTAAAGTATGCAACATTTAAACAAAACAAAACAAAGGAATTACAGATAACCTGAAACTCCTCCTATAAGCTCCTCCCACCAGACAAGACCCTGATCCTGAACCCTGATCTTCCAGGTAAAAGTCCTTCACCTGATGCATACTCTACCTGTTTTTGTATACACTTTTTTGTTACCTGTTCTGAAAAGATCTGTGATTGGCCGAAGTCTCCCATCACATAGTACATTTTCTATTAAAGCCTGAAAGCAGCCCATGAGTCCAGCTGCCTCTCAGAAAAGTTTAAATAACCTGACAGGTTATTGTGACAAATTATGACCTCTATACCCTCTTGATGCTCTAGTTTCTAATACACAAAATCTGCTGCTTAATAATAATATAATATATTATTTGGTAAGAGTGGCTAAAATTATTTTCTCAAATAGACGTAAAGTTTTCGACTCATATGCACACAAAATTTGGGGGGGGGGGGAATTGCACGATTGCAGTG